CAAAATTGGACTTTCCGAATGGACCACCTAAGACGCAGCCGCGGTCAACATTTAAATGAAATTATCTTCAAAAAGTAAATGTCATGAACCAATCTAACGTTTCAAATAAAGAACCGATGAGATTTTGCAAATTTTATGCGTTTTTTTTTTTAAAAAAGTTATCAAGCTCTTAAAAAATCACCCGATACAAGATGGAAGTTATCATACAGATTATGCTATCCCATTAGGTTATAGGTAATACAGATTCCTGTATTTAGATCCATACCAGGAAACAACTGGCAAACTCGCTAGCTTGAATAGCTTGAATGGCAGCGCCCATAGTATAATCGTCTTTCACAGTGAGTCAAGAATCAACAGCAAGAAATTGTAGGTGTTTTAATATGTCTGTTAGGAATTAGGTTTGATGACCTGAATCGTTAACAAATTTTTTCTAAGGCATCAATTGCATACTTTTTAACTGACATATCGAACTTCGTTTATTGTGGTTATTTTCGCGGTAACCTCAACTCAGATTGTGTGGCGAGGTGCCGATTAGTGGTCCTCGAAATCATCTAATGAGGGCAACGTGCCGTTCCGACTTGAGCAGGCTAAGGGAAGAGAAGTGTTAAATAAGTTTATTTGGTATACCGAGGTCGATTCTAGAAGGATAGGAATTTAATCTGTTATAATAACCAAAACAAAGTTGAGCAACGGCACTCTTGATTAGGAAGTCAACTGGAGTTCTTCTGTATGAGTGGTGGCTTGACGCCAAGTAGGATATTCACTGGGAGGAAGGTAGGTACAGCTCTGTACAGCAAAATCACGGTGGTATGCTGAATGAAAGAGGACAAGCTATCAAGTAATACCCAAAATATTAGATTTGTTAACAGTGTTAAAATTCAGTCTGTAATCCTTTATCTAGCTCGTGACCCATAGTGAATTTAGTGCTGGTGTTTCAGCTACTTGCAAAGAGAAGTAAGTGAATCGATGAGATAGTTTTTTTGCTTTGAACATATACCATAATTTCAATTGCTTGACATCCATTTCTTACAACCATCTGCGTATCTGGAAATGTTTTCTAGTGGTTGAAGGAACAGAAGTATGGAGAGAACATCACTCCGTGGAATCCTCTGCTTAATTCTTCCAAGCTTAGAATTCAGACCTAGAAAGAGTACTGTTTTTTTTTCTCTGTTCGAACGAGAGAGTGTAGTAGTAAAATTCCGTACAAGAATCTATAACAATCTCGTAACTTTTTTAGTAGATTTTCCGCTTTACCGAGACGTTGTTTTTGCACAACGATATTATTTATAGAATGGCGTAACTCAATAATGAATTTAAAATTACCTCCAAGAGAGACATACCTCACATTATTAACGATCGGAAACCATTGTTATTACTTTGGTTATAATGGCAAGTTAAGACTGTAGTAAAGGGAATTCCGTTACAGTACTTGTGCGTCTATAGACATAATATCTAGTTAGAGGCCCTTTGATTTACTCGTAGCAAATATACCTTTTTGTTTATTTTTTAAGTCCTCAAAGAAGGCGTAAGTTTGACAATTTATTCTGAAGATAAGAATAAATAATCGATTTTCTCTCTTCAAAGTTTTGTTACAAATATATTTGAATACATATGTAAATATGTGGATAAAAATGCTCAGCTTGTTTTGGGAACATGGAAGGGTTGCTTTGTTGTAGTGCGACGTCGCCTCGCCTTAAGTCTGTACTTGGGGTATTTGCGTAATTTTTTAGGTTTTTCAGCGAGATCGGGAGTGGACATTGTAGGGCTCAATATTGTTGTTACGACAGGAGATAAATAACTTGTTATTTGGCTCAATGGGGTTGTCGTTATAAGGTCTTTCTTGATTCCTATGGGTGTTGCAGCAATGACTATTTCCTCATGTGTTGTAGTTCTGACCAGTTTTTTATTGGTTTCCTTTGGTGTTGTAGTTCTGACGAGCTCTGCTTTGGTTTCTGATACTGATTTAATTGGGATCAGTTGTCTCCTAACCTCTTTTGGTGTAGTAGTTGCGACCTGCTGCCTTTTAATATCTACTGGAATTCTAGTTGAGAACAATTCCTTCTTGGTCTCTATTGGCGGTCTAGTTATGACCAACTCCAACTTGGTACCCATTGGAGTTGCAGGTGGGATTAGCTGCCTATTGGTACCTGTAGGCGTTGTAGTTGCGACCAGCTGCCTCTTTGTTTCCAGTGTCGGTGTAGTTTCGACCAGTTCTCTACTAGAACCTATTGAAGTTGTAGTTGGGACCAGTTCCCACTTCGTACTTATTGGTGTTGTAGTTTGGTCCAGTTCCCTCCTGGAACCTTGTGAAGTTGTAGTTGGTACCAGTAACCACCTGGTACTTATTGTTGTTATAGTTGGGACCAGTTCCCGCTGAGTATCTATTGGCTGCCTCTCGATTTCCAGAGACGGTAAAGTTGAGACCTGTTCTCTCCTGGTAGCTATTGGTCCTGTAATTGGTACCAATTCCGCCTTGTCTTTTAATGGGGGTCTGATTATCACCAACTCCAACTTGTTACTTCTTGGTGTTGCAGTTAGACCCAGTTCCCACTTGGTTTTTATTGACGGTATAGTTGAAAATAGGTCCATTTCGCTATCTATTGGGGTTGTAGCTGTGACTAATTTCATACTGCCTTCTATTGGTCTTGTAGTTGGGAATAGTTCCTTCTTGGTTTCCACTGGTGGTGTGGTTATAATCAGTTCCCTCTCTTGCCAAACGTTTGTAGCTGGTCTACTTATTACGATATCTCGTTCTAGTTGCAAATCGGTTGATGCAATGGCACTTAGTAAGGAGTCTCGAGTTACTGAAATTTCATTTGCAGTTGGTCTATCCTCCTTCTGAGCAATACAGCACTGCAAAAGAGCTGTAAAAATAAGGTGAATAAGATGAATTTCACCGCTCTTAAAAAATTTTATATTACCTGCAATAATAAAGGCGATAATGACTTTCATTTTATTGATTTTGTGTATGGATACACAATACCTTGCCCACGTGGTTGTAGCGCCTGTAAGCGCCTTCTTTAAAGATTATTGCCAACGCGCTTGACCACAATACTCATTAAAGCTTTTTCAAAACTGTTTAGCTTTCGGTTTATAATCAACCTATTATAGTACAACAATCGGGCTATTCCGGGTAAGACAAGGTAGTTTAACTTTATCTTCTTATTTACTCTTTAATAGAATAATAGCAATCAAGTTATCAGACCATATGTGCCTACCAACAACATTTTTTTCTTTATCGCTGTTAAATGTATTCTCGTGTTAGTAGACGAGGCTGTTGCGGGCTCTTTTTAAAACGAATAATTGAGACCGACACGTTTTAGCTTAAGATTGCAATCGAATGTTTTTAACTAACTTAACTTTATCATTAGCAAAAGATTTGCGTATCACTACTGAAGCCACGGCAAGTTTTCCTCATTTGTAAATTAAATGCGGAAGCTTAAAGCTGTATTCTTGTATTGCATAGGCTATTGCACTCGTGTTTAAAGTTCTAGTAACTGTTATTGATATCTCTGTCGGACATGCAGTTACGCTAGAAATGCTTACGTATTCACACCATTTTAGGCTAGCATTTGGATTCGATCAAAATGTAAAAGTACGCCGCGGCGGGTATTTCATCTCAAAATTTTGTCTTTGATAGCTTTTGCCGACTTTAAAAATACGCTGGGACCCTTAGTCAATATCAAGAGAGGTCCATTTATGGTTACAAAATTAAAAAAAATTAAAAAGTCTCAGTTTTCAGCAGTACAATTGAAGCGTTGAGAACAGAATTTTTTATTCTTCCTTGTATATAATATGACTTGTCTCTTCCCAGATCAATGGTTCTCACTACGATCTTGTACGCGAGGCTTCATTAATTTTTATTTATATCAATAAATAGCTCTTTCCATTCATCTTTTTTCTTTCAACTGAGCTCTCGCAACTTTATATAGTATTCTTTATGCTCTTCCATTCCATTTTTTCTCTTCCTGTAGCCCTGGCATGTCGTTGTCATTTAAGCAGGGATATTGGTCCCAGATTTACTCTATAGCGGCGAATAGTTTTACTGTGTCTAGCTTGGAAGTATCTCATTTATGTATTCCCCTTGTTTTAACTTCTCTGAGCACTTTACACTCGCCTAGCTGGTTCGCGAAGCCTTCAGACACATGTGTCATTGTATCCCAGCTTTCATATGATCTTCAATAAGGGCTAATGATAATAAAAATGATAATGATAATGATAGTGATAATGATAATGATAATGATAATGATAATGATAATGATAATGATAATGATAATGATAATGATAATGATAATGATAATGATAGTAATAATGATAATGATAGTAATAATGACAATGATAATGATAATGATAATGAGAATGATAATGATAATGATAATGATAATGATAATGATAATGATAATGATAATGATAATGATAATGATAATGATAATGATAATGATAATGATAACGATAATGATGGTGATAGTGATAATGACCATGATAATGATAAAATTATATTTCACCCAAAGGTTATTTTCAATTACAAGTACAGTTCAAAACTATTTGCAATTAAAAACACGAAAAAACGTTAACTTCGGTTGCTATTTGTTCAGTTTGTATGGAAGCTATATGCTATAGTAATCCGTTGTGAACAATTTTTTTTGGAGATTATATTGCTACCTTAAGCAGTAATCCATGCCAAATTTCGTGACGATACGACGGCAAATGCGAAATTTTTCCATACAAGACCGTGATTCCGATCGTTCGGCTTGTATGGCAGCTTTATGCTATAGTGAGCCGATCTGAACAATTTCTTCTGATATTACATTATTTCTATAAACAATAACTCATACCCAATTTCGTTAAATGAGGAAGTCTTCCATGCAAGCCCTTGATTCCGATCATTCAGTTTGTATGGCAGCTATATGTTATAGTTAACCGATCTGAACAATTTCTTCGGAAATATCATTATTGACTTAGAAAATAATCTATACCAAATTTCGTGAATATATCTTGCCAAATGTGAAAGTTTTCCATACAAGAACTTGACTCCGATCTTTCGGTTTGTATGGCAGCTATATGATATAGTGGTCCGATATCGGCAGTTCCGACAAATGAGCAGCTTCTTGAAGAGAAAATGATGTTTGCAAAATTTCAAAACGATATCTTAAAAACTGAGGGCTGGCTAAATCGACTCAGCTCAACATACTGATCATTTATATATATACTTTATAGGGTCTCCGACCCTTCCTTCTGGGTGTTACAAACTTCGTGACCAACTTAGTATACCCCGTTCAGGGTATAACAAAGTAAATAAATAAAAAATACCTGAAAAGGAATTTGAAAATAATTTAATTCGGTAATTTAATAGTTAATGCTTTTACGCGCATTTTCTGCAAAAAAACGCGAAAAAAATAAAATGCTTGAAACACAACACGGCAATTGTGATAACAATGGAACGCATGCATAAATGCAAAGCTGGCAAAAAGTGAATACAAAAGAATATAAAATTGAACGGTAATTTCAAATCAGTAAAAAGTGAAGCATACACATGTTCAAATGTATGTAAGACGTAAGACATTAGGCAGGTTCTTAAATGACGGAAGATAATTTTTATATAAAATAACCTAAAACGAAACTGATGTTTATATCGAATAAAATTAAAATGCCTTAACTTAATCCTCCTTCACTTGGTGGTACAACAATTTCTCTGCCTCTGACAGCTAAAAACTTGGGCATGGAAATGGATATTAAATTGAATTGGAAAATAAGGATTGAAAAACGGACAAATAAAGCGTATATGGCCAATAGAATTGGGTCCAAATATAGTTATTTAGATGAATACGATCATCATCTGACTAATTCCTGAATATGGAGCACTGGTTTATTAACCAATGTAAAAGAAATAACTTAATGTCCGGAAATTAAATTAAATGCAGAGAACAGTCTGCGCAGGTGGATGCCTTCACTAGAAAAGTAGCGGAAAGCTCTGCTATAAGAACAGAAGAATAAGGAGGTTAGATATTTTGAACAAAACGCCATTCTAATGCAACTACTTAATTTATTCAATCTTTCCAATGATATATTTTAATACCCACTTCCGGATGATTGCATATTCTTGTCAAGAATGGGTAAAAGGGTTAGTTAAGGAGGATCTTCGAGCCATATATCTACATGATGTATGATCTATACTGACGGGATTAAATTAGTCTGCAAAGTGGTGCGTGTGGATATTTCAATAATCTCGAAATCTTCTCTCTCTCTCTCAGTCTCCCTCTATCCGATCACCAAACTCAACCACTAACGTCCAAACGGAAATAATTGTATATATAGAAAATATCTGTGGTGTTCTATAGAATAACTACGACAGAATGGAGAAAGAAATCATAAATACAGACAGCCAGGCGGCATTGCGCCCAAGACCATAAATCTTTCGCAGTAACTTTCTCTCGAAAACTCGCCTCGTCGACTCATTAGTTGTTGGCATCATCCAAGCCTCTGCACGATATAGCACGACGGGAATAATGAGTGACTTATAGAGTTTGGCTTCGTCGAGAGAGGACTTTATTTCTCAATTGCCTACTCAGTCCGAAGAAGCAACTGTTGGAAAGAGTTCATCAAAATGGTTGTCTCTCATCCGAGGCAGTCGGTATCCTAGCGCATAACCTTGTGTAGAGGATATTTCGCCTTCTCACTTTAGCTCGCCTTCGAACGGATGTTCGTAGGCTACCCAGAGGATACTTGGTCAAAGACCGGAAGTCGTGAGCTGCTTGAGCCTTACGAAAAAGAGTCGTTTCTGGTCACTCCCAAGTGAATGGCCATCAGAGAGCTTTCCTCACTCCTCCGTCAACTCTACGTAGGCATAGTTTGGGTTTCCAACCACGGGAACAACTTTGAGAATGGAAAATCAGACGGGATGGCCAACTAAGAAGCCTCTTTAGACAAATCTCTTGCGGAGATAATTCCATGCCTACTGGAAACGATAAAAAGAGAGTTTTATACACACTTTGAACAAATAGCGCGGAGCAGACAGAAATCAATACCAATTGCAAGACAACGAAACAGATATGGCCAAAGTATGATGAAAGATGTAACAGGTCTTGGAAGAGTATTTACAAATTTACAGAGTCTATAACATGCGCTATGAATAGGTGCAAGCTCAAAGTGAACAATTACATTTTCTCTGTGAATGTCGAGATATAATACAAAGCAGACGCAGAAAAGTTGGAACCCAGCAAGCACCAAACCTTGAATGGCAGTCCACAAAAATCATACCGGATATAAATACATTTTTAGAGAGCATTAAATTGAAGCAAGATTATAGAGGTCTTACGATATTGCATCAAAGTGGCGCGCCCAGCACTAATTGCGACCAAATGGGCAGCACTTTCACCTACCTACCTACCTAAAACTCAACTCTTTAATCAATAATAACTGCTTATTTCACGAAAATATATTTATAATATTTTTAAGTCAAAAAACTATTGCATATTGACGACATAAAAAAAAAAATTTATTTAAGTTTTTTTAAACCACCCTAATGTAAAAATATGTATGCTGCAACAAGAATGAAAACTGTCGAGTAAACAATGCAAATAAAACTGAAAAAAGTTGCACATAAAAAATTAACCGAAAAAATATTATTTTCGTTGGCCATTCAACATTACTGCTGATTGTTAGTGTTGTTAATTTTTTGCTGACGTTATGCGCTTCAACGCGTGCCAATGCAAAGTCAATGAACTGTCAAACAAGAAGCGCCGCTGACATACCTACATATATATGTGTGTTAGTACGTGTATAATAAGCCAAACACAATATAGCATTACCTATCCTAAAACAACGTTACATAACATAACATAACTTAACATAATACAGGGTGGCTGATGAAAGCCGCTACCAAAAAAAAAAATTAAATAACTTTTTTTCTACTTAATGAATCTGGTTAATTTTGTTTTTTATTTTGCAGATTG